GTGGGAGAGAAGAGAGGGTTACCTCACACCTCCCGAGTGGAGGCCTTGGAGGATTTGCTAATGCTCTCTGCCATTCTGATCTCAGGGTGCCAAACACATTTGCTCTGAGGGGCAGTCATTTTCTGACCCTCCCCACCATCCAATCATCTAAAAGGTAGAAGGAGGAGAAGGATGACTAAGTGCTGAGGAGGCCACTGCTATGAGGTAAGGAATGAACTGTGGTGAACACCCTTCAGACTAATGAGGGGCCTGTGGGTGGTGTGGAGCCTGCCTCCTCTGCTGTTGGGATGGGTGTGTGGAAGGCAGTGGTGGAGTACTGTCTCACCCCGAGATACTCATCCCTTCATTAATGATTGTGGACCATGAGACAGCAGGGGGCGCTGTGGGCCTGTCCTTCAGGGACCTGTGGGTGGGCTCTCAGCTGAGAAACCAGCCCTTGCTCCTTCTGGTTCCTTGTGCTCAGGGCACACCTGGGCCCAGCAACTGTGACCTCCCAGAGCCCCAGGAGAGACCATCTAGCCCCACCCACACAGCCTACACCAAATTCAAGCCCAGGGACCCCTAAGGAGGAGAAATAATTTGCATGAAGTGTCCTCCTTCCCTTCACATGAGGGGGAAAGATAAGAGAGACTCAAGGCAGCTCTGCTCAGTTGTGGGCTCAGCAATCCTAGCTCTGGGCATCTCCACCATGGCCTGGACCCCTCTCCTGCTCACCCTCCTGGCTCACTGCACAGGTGACTGGCTTTGGGAAGCAGGAGGAAAGGTTATGGGAGGACACCTGGGGTTATTTATTTTGTTTTCATTTGGGGAACATAAATAGGTGTGGAAATGGCCCAGACTCATTATCCGTGTTTCTCTCTTTCTTTCATTCCAGGGTCCTGGGCACAGACTGGGCTGACCCAGGAAGCCTCAGTGTCAGGGTCTGTGGGTCAGAAGGTCACCCTCACTTGCACTGGAAACAGCAACAATGTTGGAACTTATAATGCAGGCTGGTATCAGCAGTTTCCTGGAGGTGCCCCCAAAACAGTGATGATTGGAACTTCTCATCCATCAGGGATCCCAGCTCGGTACTCAGGCTCCAAGTCTGGCAGCACGGCCTCCTTGACCATCTCTGGCCTCCAGCCTGAGGACGAGGCTGATTATTACTGTTCAACATGGGATAGTAGCCTCAGAGCTGACACAGTGCTCCAGACGCAGGGGGAACTGAGACAAAAACCTGCCTCTGCCCTCTGTGAGGCTGACCCCCTCCTGTGACTGCCTGTGCCCAACATCAGCAAAGACATTGACTGTGGCAGTCCCCATAGTGTCACCAACTGAGGGACTGAGAGTCAGAGAAGAGACCAAATTTATAGGGTCATCACAATGATTTCTTTCTCATACTTCTGTTTTGTTTTTAACTGGTTTATGACATGTCCTTTGCAAACCATAAAAGCTGCCAATTTAAAATATACAATTCCGTGTTGTTAGTACATTTATGAAGTTGTGTAACCATCACCATAATTTAATTTTAGAATATTTTCATTTCAAACACTTTAACCATCTTTCCACAATCCTCCCTGTCACTAGGTCACCTGTAACCTACTTCACACCTGCACAGATTCCCCACATCTATATGAGTCATCTATAGTGGACTCATAGACTGTAACCTGTTTCTGTCATTGAGTTCCATGAATAATAAATTTGAGTTCCATCCACGTTGCAATATGAGACAGTACTTCATTTATTTTTATTAGCAAATGATACTCCATTGTATGGACAACCCTCATTTTATTCATCCATTCATCAGATGATGGATATTTGGGTTCCATCCACTTTTGGCTCTTGTGAATAATGCTGTTATGAATAGTCATGTTCATGTGCTTGTGTAGACACATGCTCTTATTTCACCCGACTAGAAACCTTGGAGTGGAATTGCTGGGCACTATGGTAGCTCAATGTTTATCATTTCAAGGAGCTGTCAAAGTGTGTCCTGAAGTGGTTTCCCAGGTATCCATTCCCATTAGTAATGTGTTAGTACTCACATTTCTCCTCATCCTCACCAAGCAGAATTTCCTGCCTTTTCGATCTGGTGGTGTGATGTCTAAGACTTGTGCCTGCTAACCAGAGGGTCTGGTCTGTGTGTCCATCGGCAGGTCACAGAGGGCCATGGGCCCAAGTTTCTGCTTTGCTTGTCATTGTGTCCACATCTATATTTGTCTTTAGTACAATGGCTACCTCACAATAGTGTTGAAGTTCTCAACTGTGTGACCTTATTCAGTCCTTGGACCACTCTGATCACTTCACAGACAATGAATTCATTGCTGCACTCGAGTTCTGGACCAGGGATCCTGTGATCTGTCAAAATCAGAGACCCATGTCCATCAGATGCAGAGAAACATGCTGATTCCCTAATAGGATGGCTTCAGCCAGGCATCCATAAGAATCAGGAGAGAAAGAGTTCTCTTCACACATGTGAGCTGGGTAGGGAGTTCATGAATTGGGAGGGTGTGCACCAGGCCCACTGAAGGTACTGAAATTTAGCAATACAAAAACTGAAAGGTCATTGACTTTGACTTTCAGATAATCAGTGAACAATATTTTGGAATATTCATTCCCCTCCCTATCATATTGTGAGTCGTCTGGGCACTGCACCTGAGCTAAGACAGAGCTGCACAGGGCCCCACTCCTGCTCTGTGCTTTCGACATCAAGGCAGACTTTCTCTAACACAGTCATTCCTCCAGCGTCCCCTTCAGTCACCAGTAAATACACTTGATAGGACACCATTCACTGATGGCTACTTACATTCCCAAGTCCTCATTCTATGATCCTCCTTGTGGCCAGACTCTGAGCCTCTCCACCGATTGCTGCACTCGAGTTCTGGACCAGGGATCCTGTGATCTGTCACAATCAGAGACTCGTGTCTATCAGATGCAGAGAAACATGCTGAATCCCTAATAGGATGGCTTCAGCCAGGCATCCATAAGAATCAGGAGGGAAAGAAAGAGTTCTCTTCACACATGTGAGCTGGGTAGGGAGTATGCTATACAATGTGGGAGCCGTGTTACTAGATTTCCAAGTTCTATTGGGCTTTATCACCAAGGAAATGAGGTTACTTACTGGGCCTCCTTACCTGTCTTATCTTCTAAGACAAGACATCTCTTAAGGCCCCTTTAGGCTGACACTCATTTCCTATGCCATCTTCATAACTGTCGACAGATAAGACAATATAACCCTTCCCACAAACTCCCAGGAAAACCTGTTTTCAGCCTGGACCAAAGCTTTAAGTAGATAGGGTTGAGTTCAGGTCTAGCTCCTCCCTCTCACCAGTTCTGTGAAACCATACAAGTTATGGTGCTTCCCAAGGTCTCCCCAGTTTCCCCAATTGCACAACAAAACCCATGGACAGGTGTCAAGTAAAGAGGATGCTCGCTCTTAGAAATGAAAAATTATAAAAATGAGGGAAGCAGCGTGGGGTATGACTCCAACAGGACTGAGTTCTGGTGGTACGGCACTGGGAAAGCTCCTTCTGCACTTGACTTCATTCTTCAGTCAACACCATGAAAGGATGGACCACAGATGAAAATCAGAAACCTTCATCCTCTGGGCTGTCTTCAGTTGTTTCCATTGTATTTAGAATCAGACCCAAGTTCCTCATCTCAAACAAATTAGGGTGATCTTGTACAACAATTCATGATATCCTCATCTCCTGATGGAGACATCCTTGTGTTATCCCCTCCCTTTGAGTGGAGATTGGCCTTACTGACTGGCTTCTAAAGAAACGAATAGGCCACAAGACTGTGATTTGCACCTTGCTCTCTCTGTTAGTGGTGTCTTTGCTTTCTCTCTCACCCCTTTTCTCTGGGGAAGCAAACTACAATGTTATGAGCTGTCCTATGGAAAAGCCCATATGGCAAAGAACCAAGGAGGGCCTCGGGCAACAGTCCAGAGGAACTGAAGCTCTTAGCCCAAAAGCTTAAACGAAACCAAATCCTACCAAGAACATGGTAGTGAGCTTGGAAGTGGACCCTTCCCCGATCAAGGCTCAGTTGAGATCACAGCCCAGACTCTTGAGAGACTTTGAAAAAGAGGCTCCAAGCTAGACCGTGTCTAAATTCTGAGCAACAAAGTTGAAATATATGTTTGTTGTTTTGTGCTCCAGATTTTGAGGTAATGTCTTCACAGAACAATAGGTAACTTGCACAGGTTACCAGGCCACAGGATTTGGGCCTGCCCAGCTCTTGCCCTCTGCTCTACTCCTGCCAAGTTCACTGGAGCCACAGTGGCTGCCTTCCTGCTGTCCTCTATGGAATAACTCACATAGGTCCTACCCAGACTCCTCAGCTCCCCAAATCCCAAGTCTCTCTCCTCTCTGGATGAACTCCGGTAGAGAAAGTCTTTTCCAAGGCCCACAGAATGCAGTGACTCATCAGTGCAGAGCCAAGGCCAACAGACTCTTCTCTGAGCTTGTGGAACATGCAGGGTCACACAGTCCAAACACCTCAGTGTAGAGAGGAGGTCACTGAGGCTGTCATTCGTCTGGGCCCCTCCACACTAGGGAGCAGCTTACACTATATCCAGATGCCCAGACTGCTGGACTGCAGGATACCAGACCCATTTCTCTGGAGGTTGTCCTGGAATGACCTTGGCTTAAGAATGCCCACCTTGGGCATTCCCTTCCCATGAACCTACTGTCTCCCCCCTCCCCAAGCTGTATTTCTATGAGCCAGTTGCTAGGAGACTGTATGCCCCCGCCCCATGGCAGAGTTGCATCTAACCACTTCTCTATTTTCTCTTGTCACTTTCTCCGTGTCTGCTTCTCCTCTAGTTCAAGGCTCATTGTCCCCATCTGTGAATTCAGTGTGTGTTTGTGCATGGTGTGTGTGTTGGGGGGTATTGAGAGGAAAATGGCCCAACATGGGGAAGGGTTAGCTGGAAAGGGGGAGAGAGAAAGAGTAATTTTCTCAGGCCTCACAAACTCAGAGGCCACTGGTGCCTTTGCCCGTGCCCCCTCCATTTCAGATGGATTCTGAGTCCCCTCCCCACAAACAGCAACAATAGAAACAATCCAAGGAGCACCATGGATGACCCACAGTGAGGGAGTCAAGGTACTAAGTCATGACCTGAGCTATGGTCACAAGGCTACAGCCTAACAAAGGCGCAGATGTGGACTTCTCCTTTGTGGAGAGTGGGCACTGGACCAGCCAGTGCTGAGCACAGGAGTCTCTCTGTCTCTGGCAGATCTTATCCTCTCATTTCAGACACTGTGGGATCATGGGCTGGGGCTGCAGGGGTGGCTGTGTGCCTGTCTCTGTGGGTATATGGGTGTGACCTCAGCCACCTTGGGAAAGAAGCCACCTTTATCCATCTTTGCCCCATGACCAACATCCTTCACCCCCAGGTTCCTGCACCTGGAGGGCAGGCCTCCCCTGCCTGTGACAAACACCAACCAGAGGATGGAAATGGGAAGGACCTATGATAAAAGTAATGTGTCCTCCATCCCATGGGCCTGGGAGGAGAGCAGCGAGAACAGGCAGCGCCCTCTCAGGAGCCCTGGTTCCTGTTCTGGGGGTGGGAAGGTGACATGAAACTGTCATGTGCTCCTACAGTTCACAATCCTTGAAGATAGCATCACCGTGAGGACAAAATAGAAAGAAGAGGATAAAACTATAAGAAATCCCTTGAAGTTGATAAAAATGATTGCTCAGAACCTAAGACTTTGAGGGAGATCAACCACGTTACTCCACTGTCACCTCTTCCGTATTAATTACATCCACGTCCCTCCACCACACTGTGAAGGTCCAGTGGGACAGTGTGAATCAAGCCCACGCATGGTTCCCTCAACACGTGAGGTCGGCAGTGGAAAGGGAGTCTCAGCCGCTGTCCGGATGCTCCTGTGACTGCACATCCAGCTCCTCCCATTTCCCTTTCCTGGGACCACCTTCCCGTGTGAACTTCATGTTGGCTGCTGCCTTGACTGCTTAGGTAACTTACACACATTCCGTGCTGGCATGTGTGTTTCCTGTGGGCCCCAAATCCTTTAATTCAGAAATCATCCCTGAAGAAAACACACCTGCTCCCTGAATATTCTTCTTTGTGAGATTTCCCCGTGGGGTTGCAAATTCCTTACCCACAAATCATCCTGCCTCTCCCAGGTGCTGTCACCTTTAAATGGCCCGAGTAACAGAGTTTGTCATGCACCTCTCTCTGTCCTGTACATTTCTAGTTCTTGTTCATCACACACATGAAGTGTCCACCTGCAAGCCAGAAAGTCCAC